GAGGTGTGCAGCAGCAGCACAGCTGGGGATGCACCTGCAACAGCACTGCTGAAATGACAGAATCATGCCATGGATTGAGGGAAGCAAGGAAGGAGAGTGATAACAGCCAGGGAAAGCATTGGATGCTTTGGATACTGCTCACAGCCCCAAGGAGCAGCTCAGAGCTGCCCCAAGGCCAACTGTGCTGCCTGGATGCAGAGCACAGCTCAGGGTGTGATGGCCAAAAATCTGCCACAAGGATCTGCCTGCCTGCTTCTAGTGCTGCTGAGTGCAATACTGACTGCTGTATTTACAGCTTATTTTTCATATATCCCAGGAAGAGGGTCAATTCACCTTCTTTGCACACCAAGAACTTCAAGATCCTTCCTTGTGCTTTAAAATCATCTATATACCTCCTCAGAAAAAACATCCTGCAGGAACCAGTATGACAGAGAAGCCATCAGCATTATTTAAAATCTTTACTGATTACAAAACAAAGCAGATGGCAAATCAAGTCATGAACTCTGCATCTGCCATGCTTAATGAACAGTTTAATTACCTAGTCCCATTTCTGATGCATTTTTGCCATTCTCAGCTCTGGGAGTCACTAATATACTTCACACTGACTGGTATCTCCAGGAACATGTGGTATCAGCAGTCAGCTGGAGTTGGTTAATCAATACTTGTTTAATCTCTTACTTTTATGGTGATGGTCTAAATTATGTCTCAATAGAAACAGATTTCCCATCATATCACATGATCTGGTTGACAGCCCAGGAAACAAAAGGGAATTTTTCAGTCTCTTCTCTGGGCAGCAGAGTACCCAAAGGCAGATAAGTGCACAGACAGGAAATAAACACAGTGAAACAACAATATCCAACACAAACAGCTCAGTTCAGTTGTTGTGTTATGCCTTATATGAGAGCAAGGGCTGCAGTTATGGCAGTGTGCATTCATAAAGGCCACACTTTCAGGAATTAGACTAATTTGGGATAAGTTACAAAAAGTATCTGAAGTCAGGCTTCCCATTTTGAGTTTTGAGCTTCCTGCAAAGGAACATGCCCTAGCTGCAAAAACAGGGCATTTTGTCTCTGGCCAAGCCCGCAGTGCCAAGGGCTGATCCAAGGCACTCAAGAGCTTCTTGCAGAAGTTCCTCCTGGGCACAGAAGGAATCACTGCTTTCAGGAGCCACTGAACTGAACATGTGCAGGGGAAGAGGCTCCAGGTCTGAACCCTGGCAGCAGCTGAGTAAGAAACACATTAAGAGCTGATCAAAACCAGGTAAAATCACTCGAGGAGAGGAGGAGATCCAACCCAACCTTTGGCCCTCCACATCAGAGGGCTTTTGGGAGCTTTTGAGTGGGTCTTTAATGCTGTTCCAGAGCAACACTTCTGCTGCACAAGGCCCAGTTGTGCTCTCTGGAAGCTGCCTTCCTGAAATAAATAACCAGAGCTGGCTTTCCATGAAATGCTGACTCGATCAGCTGCTTACATTCAGATAATGATTTTCAGAAAGGATTTTCCTTTCTGGGAGGCCTCTATGTCATATAAAATTTCCTAAGAGATTCCAATTTTAGCCATTCAGTAGCAGAACTGACTGTTTTTAACAAGCCCACTTCATAAACAAAGACCAGGAGTTGCGTGTAAAGCTCTCAGAAAAAGAGAAACACTCATAAGCTTAAGGGTAACACAAAAGTCAAATACAAAACTGTGTGAGTAAACATGGCATTCAAAGCAAATACAGCAGTAAATCAAACAGGCAAAAGGGCAGAGGTGAACTAGGTGTTTCCCCAGCATTTCAGGTATCTCTCAGCACTGTTGTATCACAAGTACCTCAGGTACTAAAGCAAAGATGAAAGACTTTCCCAAAACTCCGAGCTAAGGAAAAGCAAAAAACATGACAGACAGCAAACCCAGCCAGGCAGGTCTCTGAGAAAGAGTGTGAATCCATCCCTTCAAACATCAATTTCTGTTCCATCACCTTAAGTGAAGGGAGTGACACTCCAGGAGAAACCTTCCAGCCATCAATGTCGAAAGCCTCGGTGCTGTCCTAATCTAGCCTTATGTTTCACTGAAAACATGCAAATCAGAAAACTTCAGTCCTGCCCTGATTTGCAAGGGCACGTGGGACAAAATGATCAACCAACATGTTCTAAAGAGCAGTTTGTGAGCAGGAATAATCAGATACAGATCCTACACCAGCCCACACCCCCCAGAGGGGCTGGACCACTGCAGTAACACTCAGAGACTGGAGAATGCTGTTCCAATCTGCCAGGGAAGAGAGATTTGTAGGGATGCACTGAAGTATCCCACACAGACAACTGTGTCACTTCCAAGCAGTAAACCAGCTGGAAAGGCCCAAGTAAGACCAAAAAGCCCAAACGAAGCAAATGAGGCAAGGAAGGAGCAATGGGCAGAGAGGTTAAATGCACTGGAATGGAAATAAAAGAGCAACCAAGACTGTGGCAAGTAGCAACTGAGCATGACTGACAAGTGAGAATGGCAGTCTGTAAAAGCCACAAAATATTGCTTCAATCTTGGGGAAAAAAATATCAGTAGCCATGGCAGTGAGAAGGAGTCAGACTGGCAAAGCAAGTACCCCCTGAAGAGAGTACATTTACTACTGAAATATTTGGTCCTGCTATTTCCAAACAAAAAACAACTTATTGTTTTCTATTCATATTTTAAAATGTATTCTAGGCCTGAGACTTCCAGGTTCCAACCTGAGCCCAGAGAAAGGAAAAAGGAAAACTGTTACAGCATTAAATTTGCACTGTTGAACACCTCTGACATCTTTCAGGCCTTGTTTGCTCAGCACACAAGGACTGATTCACTGCCCTAGCAGAGGGTCAAACATGCACAAATGCAGAAGTCATACTATCAAAAGCAATAGCATTTCAATAATATATATAATACTCTCTCCCAAATTAGATTTTCACAGTCCTATTTAACAAGACAAAGACTGAATAGAGAGAACTCATCTTTTCCATTCTCAAATTACATAAAAGCACACCACAGTACTGATGCTACTAATTAGATGATTAAATACCATTCTAGGTGATATGCTTTCAATGTAAAATAATTATTTTTGACAGGAAATGTATTTGCTCAATCTCATTTTAAATCACAATATCATACTTTTTTTAATTAAATGAAATTCTTTCTTCTGATTTTGCATGAGAAGAGCAAGCAGCAGGAGAAAGAGTGCTGAGGATAGATTGTCCAAGTACCATAATGCATGTACTCCTTCACAAAGGACCCTAGCGTTCTCTGGATGGAATATAAATTTTCAGAGAACAGCAAAGTCTTTATTCCTTCAAAACAGGTCAGTTGAGGAATGACTGAGCACACTGAAAATCTCCCCTGTCAAAACCCAAGTTTATGTGCCATGGTCTGATGAAGAACACTTGCAACTTTTCCTTTGCTCCTCCTCAGGGGAAGCACAGCAAAGAAAGCAAAGGTTTGTCTTTCCATTTAAATCAGAGTACAATCCTTCACATGACAAAGTAGTGTTGTGCTTTTGTCCCCTATTTAAAGAAAATTAATGATATCTTTGTGTTCTATGACAAAAAGTGTTTCTGCTGAGCACTGGAAATAAGTTAACAAAGGGAATATTTTAGAAACCATCTGAGAAGCTTCCTTCAGGCCTGAGCAGTCCAGCACAATATTAAGACAGCTGAAAAGGTTATAAAGACAGGTTTTTATAGGGCTCAGTATGCACCTGTGCCTTATCCAGCCATGGCAGCCCCAAATCAGAACACAGAGAGCTGCCTGCTGCTGAGGGAGGAGAAGGGCTGACAGGAGGTGCCTTTTCTGCTTCCATGGAGAGATTTTGGTCCATCCACCCTGACTGCAGTGCCTGCCTCAGTGTGAGGCTGAACGAACTGCTGTCATTTTCCTCTTTGCACTCCTCTGACTCTCCACGGCATCAAACTCTGCAGTCAGAAGATCTGATGGAATATCCTCTTGTAAAGTGGCTGCTTCATGCTTCAAGAGCCCTGCTTACTGCACCATACATCACAGCTTCTTTGGCTCAACAGTGACACGGGAATTACACAAAATTGGGTGCAGCGCAATTAAAATCGATCAAAATGCTTTAGTTGACACTGGAAATCAAAGTCTAAAGCTCAGGCACCACAGCAGTTCTTTCCCCTCCTGCCTCCCCACATGGTGATGTGCCTGGCTCCCTCTCATGAGCTCTGACTACTGGAGCCTGACCTTCTGCACACACATAAGCTCATTTACGTGAGCAGCTTTATAACACCAGGGAGATTGCTCAGATGAGGGAAGTTTTGCAAGGAGTTTTCTTGGAAAGTGAAGTAACTCTCATTCTGGCTAGAGCAAATTATTATTCCCTTTGTGGAAAGCGAGCTCTCAGAATTTAATATAAAATTTTCAATGCTCTGCAGACCTTAGAATTATTGTATAGAATTTCATCATGAGAGCACACCTGATACAGGATGATGCAGACCCCTTTGATATATTCTATAGAAAGAATCTTAAAACGTATTTTCAATTTACTGGTCTAGTGCTTGCCATTACATTTGAACAGACTTCCAGCGTAAGAGGAAGGCAAATCTCTTACTCCCTGTAAATTGTTTTTCCACAGGAACAGTTGACAAGGTGCTGCCACTTTGTTCTCTTTAGGAAAGGAGGCAATGCAGCCAAAGCCATTAAAAATTCCCTTCAGTGGCTCAAAACACTCCAGCAACAACATGATTCAATTCTCTGCCCTCACAGAGATGCCAAGGCTCAGACAAAGGCATGTATCCTCAGCACAGCATGAGCCCAGCTGGGGGAACGTGAGCACAGTTTTGGAAGGCACAGTTTTAGGTACTTCCATTCCACTGAAGCCCTAATAAAGTCAGGTTTCATGTCTCCCACAGCACCCATTATGCAAAGACCCCAGAACAGCTCCATAGCACCAGTTATAGAGGTGAACAAAGGAAAAATAGGAAGGATTACACCTGGCAGAAAGAAATAAGGACATGGGCTGCTCCAAACACGGTCTGGGAACTCACCTTGGTGAGGAGCACCACGCGTTTCTGCAGCCGCCTGACCAACGCTTCCTGGTGCTCCCGTTTCTTCTTCTCATCCAAGAGCTGGCTCTGGACACACAGGATTTCCTCCTGCAGCTGCTGCCGGGCCTTCTCCAGCATCCGGGCACTAAGAGAGATAAGACAGACCCGTGAACTCCTGAGTGCTGCCTCTGGAGCATCAGAGGGGTCAGGAGAGCCTCAGAGGAGAAGCATGACCATGGCAGTGTCACTCTCGTCTTACAGCTGCACCGCTGGAAACTGGGGAGCTGCAGCCTCATTATCAGCTGTTGTCAGAAAAAGATGTGAGGGAAGAGCCAGCCCGAGGGACAGCCTTCTTGTGCAGCACGAGACAATTACTGGAACCTCACAGGTAGGAAGCATTTAAATAATTGCACATCTGTTTCAAAATCAATCCATTTGCCTTTGAGAATGTGGCTTGTTTTCAACAAACAACATGATCTTCGGTTCTACTGGATCTCTTCAATCCTTTCTAACAAAGGAGAAGAAAAAGTTGGTTTAATATTATCTGCTTTGACTGACAGTACTCAGCAAGTAATTACAGCCACACTACCTGCACATTGCTCTTGCCAGCAACCTATATTGGAAGAGAAATGTCTTCTGAGAGCAGGTGATTAGCACTTCTTTTGAGATGAGGACATAATTCTCAATTAAACCAGAACAGCCTGGCCCTCTTCTTCTCAGCTCTCCGTGCAGCACGCCGTGGTGATGCACAGTTATCTGTGAGCTGCTGGAGGAGCTCTCCACGTGTGCCCTTCAGCCTCCCAGTCTGCTGCTGGGACACTGAGGGGCTGCTGCTCCAAAGCTCACATCAAGCAGCTCATCACACATCAACTGCTGGCAAAGCACCTGATCAATAACAAAATAACAGTGGAATCACTCCTGTGATTAAGAGTCAGTTCATTATTTAAATATGATGAGTTTATCCAAGACTGCACTCCAAGTATTTAATGAGTGAGCAGGACATGAAATACAAATATTGCACACAAGTAAAAAACCCTCAAGCAAGCGTGAAAGATCAAACTCAACATCTCCAGCTTAGTCAGGAACAGAAAAACTTTGTTTCTCTAATGCTAGAAACAACACTAGGAAATTTATGAGTGCTTCCAAGGGGTCTTATTCATCATTATATTTGAAAGAAAATAAATAAAAATGCTTTAAATAAAATAGCACTGTTGTTAAGGTACTGTTTAGATAGATCCAAAAGGGAATACTTAAAGAACACTTCTAGCATAAATCAAGTACAACCTGCGCTGCCAGGTCACTAAATTGCATTTCTTGGGAAATGTACATAGGAATTCACAAGAATTCCAAAGCAGCTGTCTCCCTACCTCAAAATCCTTCTCCTTGAAAAAAGTATTTGTTTTAAAGCACTGGATGAATTAGAAACTTGTTTAAAGCCCCAGTTGAATTTGGAACCATTCAGAGACCAATTTAATAACTGGGAATTGTAAAAGAGTTTCTTCTTTGCTGTATTCAGGTAGGAAGGTTCATCAAGGGGGTTTCACATCTGCATTTGAAACTGGATAATTGCATTACCAGGGCACCACTTCTTCATTGCACCTGTTTTAATTAATCAGTTAAGAAGGGCACCTGTGCCAAGAATAACATCTCTGGTGATGGAACATGCCTGTGGGTAAGCCTATCAAGCTTGCCCTCAAAAACAGGGCAGAAAGGATGGGTAATTCCTGGTAACCTCAATTTCTGCCTTAGGATTTATTCAGTTTGTTCAACAACATTCCTTGTTATGCACAGGGTAAATAGAAGTACAAAACCCTCATTAACTGTGGTATATGTGTTACAACAATTAAAATCACACTACACAAACCTTACTGCAAATATCTTTTTACTTATCAAAGAACCTTTGTCCTGATTAGAGTCAGAACAGAAGAAAAAAATGCAAGCATAAGATTAATTACCCTGAAACAGCAAAATTCTCACATTTGATTACTGCAAAACATTTTGATAAGGCAATGGAGCAATCTTTTTTCTTAATCTCCCAACATTGTGACTTATTTCTATAAATGTTGAGTGGACCGACAAATGATGATTGATTTGACATTCACCAAAAAAAAATGAGATATGTGCTAGGTTTCCTTCCCAAAATAATGAAAAGTATTTGAGATTCACATCTCCTGGAGAGCACAGACATTCAGCCACACACAAAACTTTCAAGCTAGGTTGGAAAACAACTGTTTTAAAACATGAGAGAAGTTGAGCAAAGGGAGACAAATGGGCAATTTCCTCAGCCACTGCATGGAAATAATACCTTCATCTGTTTATATTTCAGCCTCAGTACAAATGTGATATTAATGTACCTAAAATTCAAATGCCAGAGATGTCTCTGAAAGTGGGGACAATCCCTAAACTCCCTGAACTGACTGTTACCATAGGTTTCCTTGCTATGGGAGGCGTGAAATTCAACTTCCTCACAACTCTCCACACCATGCCAAAGTACGTTATTGAGATCCTTTCTTCCTCTCTTTGGACAGATTGATAATTCTTCCAGAAACTGCAGCAAATACAGCATGAGCTGCTTCTATAAGGAAAAATCCAGCAGGAAAGTGCTATTTCTTATTGACACAAAACAGGATTTGCAAGTAGGTGCTCAGAAGCAAAAGCCTTTAAAGCCAGACTTGTGCACTCTTCTCTCACCCTGATGACACCTATGGCTTTTCAGAAGTAATTGCTCACTCAATATGAGCATTAAAAAATAAAATAAAAGCAGCACGAAGTTCTCCATTCAACATAAGCTTGGGAAAGTGGCATTTTAAGAAATCTTTGCAAGTTCAAAGTAAACCTTTTAAGCCTTAAAGAGGAAAAAGTCATTTCTGTTTATCAGCCTATTAATGTTCCTTGTTCCACATCCCAGTGAATGAGATGCCAACATATTTCTGTTCTGAGCTGTTTGAGACTCTTCATATTTTGCTCTTTCCCTTCTGTAATCCACTTTAATGCAATCTTAATGATAAAACTTCATTTTCCAGAATATTCTTTGAAAGACTGAGAACAATGAAGGCACACAGTGAATACTGAAGCTATAAGATACATTTTAATAATCTCCTTCAAAAATGACAAAAGCAGCCGACAGCTCCCCCCCTGCCCCCCACGCCGTGATCCATAAAACGTTATTTTAATCATTCCATCCTTTCAGTAGCCAAGTTACCACCTCAGAGTTAAAAAAAAAAAAAAAAAAAAAAAACCAACAACAACAAAGCAGGATGGCAGAACCAGTCTGTATATGAAGCTGGGAGGAAAACAAGGGGTGCACAGTGACAATTAGAAGAGGAACAGTGTCTGGGTCATGTTGTAGCTCAGCAGAAGATGAGACACGTGTACCTACCAGGGCCAGCTGTCAGGAGGGAGAGCACATCAAAGAGAAAAGCAGAGTGTGATGGGAAGTGAGGGAGCACAGGGGGAACACGGTGACAGTGCCAGCGCACACACGGAGCTGCAGCGATCAACATCCTCGTGTCAGAGTGCGCAGAAAAGGGTTAATGCAGAAGTTAATGAGGCAAAAAGGAGCAGGGGAAATTGTTTTGTAGCAAGACATTTGGATGAAGGAACACCCATTCCTGAAACTTGACATCTCGCAGGCATCTCAATGAATCCACACGTACACGCGTAAACCAGACTGGAAACTGATAAACAGAGGGCTGAACAAAAATGTTATTTTCATTCCAATTCCTCCCCCACAGGTTTTCTGAACAAACACAAAGGCATAAATAAAATCAGGGTAACTCCAGCATGTCTTTTATTTTCCAGTGGATAGCAGCAGGACATCCCTGCCTGTGCTCTCTCCCTCAAGGATTCTTCCAACCTCCAATTCCTGACACAGACAACTTCCCCCCTCAGCCTCTGCTTAACCTGCCTCAGAACCACTCAGGATGAGAATTAAAAAGGAAAAACAGAAGGGAAAAGATGAAAACAGTTTGACTTAAATAGGGACAGAACACAGGAAAGAAAATGTAGTGCTTGGCAAAACAAAAAAACCTCCATCCTATATTAAAGAGGGAAAAATCTCCATCCTATATTAAAAAGAGAAAAATCTCCATCCTGTATTAAAAAGGGATGCATTACAAAATGCTGCTGAAAAGACTGATTGGAGCTCTGAGAACACAGCTACAGATGGAGCTGCCTGAACTAGTTTAACAATTAAGGCAGGTAAACTAGAAAAACCACCATCAGGAAGGAGGAAAAGACTTTAGTGCTGCAAGTGTTTCAGCTCAAAACTCAGAGGTTTGGGTGCTAACTTTTACTACAATAAGACTGGCATCTCTTCCTGCTTCCTTTCTTCTTCACAGACAGAATTGTGGCTATATGGAAGCAGTAGCAGCCTGCCCTGCCCTCAAATCCTGCCCTGCTGCTGGGACTGTGGGAGCTGTGGGGGCCAACAGGTCTGTGTTATCTATTTGCTCACTATATTCAGAAAGAGAAATGATACAAAATATGGACATCTTTACTAGAAGTTATCACAGGGGCTATATTTTATTTAAAGCTTTAAGTGTGCCTCACAGAGAGCCCTATGAAATACTGCAACACAAAATACTACATGAAATGGTCTACAGAGAGTTGGTGGGAAAACGCTCTTCCTTCTTCCTATTTATTTCTCCCAAGTCTCCAGCAAACATCTGCAAACTTTCTCTTTTATTTTCACACCTTGTATTTGCTCAAAGATCTTTTGTGTAACTCACCGGCACCAGGCTTCCATAAATCACAAATCATTCAAAAGTAAACAGATCATACATCATCTTGGTGCTAGACATACAAGGAAGATTCAAATCACAATGAATTTATAATGAGGGAACAACATAAAGAGAATTATTTTGCTAGTGTGGCCAGATTAAATGGGTAGGAAGCAGACAGACATTTGGAGCTTTATTGGTGCACTGATAATGTTTTATTTGTGAGACAGTATTTAATTTCACTCCCTAGCCAGCAGCGTAACTATCAGGCTCAGAAACACAGTTCCACCAAAGTGCGCAGCTAGAGAAAAGAAATAACTCACATTTTCTGCCCCAGCCCGAGCACAACAGCCATAATTGACTGGCAGGAGTTAAGATTCACTGAAATAAATTCACATCAGGCACCCTGAGCTTCTTTCCACTG